GTCTGGGAAGAGGATTGCGGACTAAATATGGCAGATTCAGATTAACGATCCAAGAAGAATGGTAGGCGGGTGTGGTGAGAGGTGTCATGAAATCCGCTCAAAATGGCGCACGATGTCATGTTTAAATAGGCAATTAAGCAATTGTAATATTCAACGGGTTATACGAGGAGAGAGGATGAGTGAATACCCCGGGAGTGAAGGAGCGATACCACAACTGTTTAGTAGACAATTGGTGAAAGGATCGACTTCAATTCTCTCTTTGACGAGTTGTAGTTTGGTGCTAAGACTGCATACGCTCAGGACAAGATGCATTCCTATAGGTTTTCCTGCCAATATGATCAAGTTGCCATTTTATTTAGTTCCTTCAAGAAGCTGTCAATCCGGATCTTTCCGATTAAGTAAAAAAGGGCTTGAAAACTACAAATACGGGAATCAGAGCCCAACATTTTGCTTAGTTTCATGTTAATCTGTTGTAAAAGTGCCTTATTGTGAAATGATGTGAGGGAAAAACCTGGCGATAACCCACCAGTTTCCACAGAGAATATCCTGAATGAATTGTCACAGTAGCCGCAGGCGATCAGCGTCCGGTTGTCTGGCATCAGCACAAATTGGTTGGCATTGGTGTCGAGACGCTCATCGCGGTTGTCACTGACAGATCGTTTCCATAGTGGGCCGCCGGCAGCACCTGCTGGAAGGATTGGGAGAAGTCAACGCACAAAACAGAAAACCTGTCATAATTTTTTTATAAAATGAATATATTTTCTTTGCTATATTTTTAATTTTATATGAGATAAAGTAAAAAAATGTTGCATAAATATGGCAAGTATTTTGTTAGTTAAAATTTAGCTAAAAAGTACTTAAAGTCTCACTATGGCGATAGCGAGCCGACAAATGTAACATTTTCACTATTTAATCCCTTTAGAAGATGTACATAATATTGCCTTTAACCTTGCTATTAAGTGAGCAATTTGAAAGGTCGCGTACCAAAAATAGGGTCCAAACTAAGTGGTTGGGGAGGGGCTGTTTCTACCGACTTGGAGATTCGTCGAGAAGACGGCTTCCGAGATTGTCCTTCGGAAGCCGGAGGCACAACATGCGGGTTGTTAGCGCTCAGAGACACCGCAGAAGGGAAAGATGATGCTGTTGAGGTGAGAGGCTCCGGGGCGCAACTTGGTGAATCGGCGACTTCGGATGGAGACGAAGAGGTGGGGCAAATAGCGATGTTTGAGGGTGCCAAGTCGGATCCAAGAGGAGTAGGAGGGGCTGCGGGGGTTTGGGCCATGGCTGAAAGGGAGGATGAGAAAGGGTTTAATTAAAGAGACGATGCTGACGTTGGTCTCAAGCTTGGAGACAAGGCGAGCGAGTTTGCAAAGCAGTAATACATTTCCAAGAGAAAATATTAGCGCGATGATGGCTTAATCATCAGTTGCCGGAATTCCAGCGACCCTTCAGGCTAAAGTGGGATTCAATTACCAAATTGGGGGCTAAAACCAATCAAATTTATTTTTATGCAATTAGTGAAACAAAGCTGGATTCCGAACACTAATAGCAATTCTAATAATTTCATTTAGCTTAAATTTTCATTCACAAGTTGGTTGGAAAGAATGTGTGAAATTGCCTCACAGAAAAACATTCGATCTACTTCTTGAGATCTTAATTAGGAATATATGATTTGGCAAAGACTCAATAATTTGCTTAAAGAGTCTTTTTGCAGGTTTAGTGCACAAGTTGTATGAATATATACGAGATTTAGCTTTGGGGTTGTGTTTAGATCCTACTTCAGCCAAAGCATGATGGCTTAATTGGAGGTTTGATTGATTCAAGACTTACTCCCAGTTCAATATTTATTATTCGAATTAAGTATTGTTTTCGTGACTACCAGTAAATCAGTATAAATATATCACGAAAACAATACTTAATTTGAGGAATAAACTATATTTGTC